CTTTAGGCTGTAAATCTATAAGAAGAGCCCAATGGGCCGAAAACCCTCAACTTGGGCCTCATAATGTCAAATATGAGCTAGTATGGCCCAAAGTTTTCCCTTTTCTTTTCCTTTCCCTCATTCTCGGCCCACTTATGTCTACAAAAAAAATAATGATAAAGGGAATATTAGGGAAGAGCCACCTCATTATTAACTAGAGGACTTCCAAGTAATTACCCCTCATGTTTCAAGAAAATCCCATTCATCCATGCAACCATCACATCAAATTTCTCTCTTCCCTCCCTCTTCTTCTAACTCTCGGCCATAAGGCCTTCCCCACCACCATTTTTCATTTCAAACCTAGAACACATTCTTCACTCCTCTCATACCTCCCAAAGAACCCAAGGAAAATTTCACCACTTCTCCTTCCAAAAATTCATGAACTAGGGTGTTCACCAAGATCTTCAAAGATCATCACTTATTTGGTAAGCTACTCTTTAAGCTTGATGATTAACTACATTTTATGATAATCTTCACTCTTTAACACTTCATTTCATGATCCATGCTCTTAGAACTTCATAGATCTCGAAAATCACTTCAAGAAAGCTTGTTAAAGCCGAAAACCTCTCCAATCCTCTTCCAAAAACCGAAACCTTCAAAGCAAAGTGAGTTCATACCCCTTATTTTCGGTTTTCACTATGTTTTGGGGGAGAATACAAGTTGTTTTGTGTAGATCTATGTGTTTATGCATGTATATATGTGTTTTCATGTTATATGTTGTGTTTATGTTATAAAAAACATGTTAGATCTTTACCAAACTCGAAATATCTACTTTATTTGGTGATGTTTGTAAACTAAACCATCTTATGTGTCATACTATGTCGTGGAAAAGATTAAATATGCTAAAAATGTGTGAAAACTAACCAAAATCGTATAAAGGGCCATTTTTGACAAAATAACCAAAAAGTGAGGTTCTTATGTAACTCACAGTTTTGAGAGGACCAAAAGAGTCATTTTTAAATAAAAATGGATCTTTTTGATATTCATGGTCTTAAAGGGGTCAAAAGTGCAAACTTTCACAAATGGGCTTCTATATGGGCCTTCACGGTTTTAATGGGCCAAATATGCCAATTTTCACAAAAGATGAGTCTTAATTATGCAACACACAGTTATTAGGGGTCAAAAAGGATTTATTTTGCTAAACACGGTTAGTTGCAATAATTGAGAGCCTACAAGGACTAAAAATGTAAACATTTTCATAGATGGGCCATTTTTGGACTTCTCACGGCTTTGGGCCAAAAATATGTACTTGTGGACTTTTATGGGCTTAAATGTAATTTTCAACAAAGTTGTGCCACAAATGCAAATTTTTGATAAGAGGGACTAAAAATGTGATGTTATTAAAAATTGGGCCAAAAAGATGAAATTATCTATAATTAGGCCGAACATTTTTACAAAGATCAAGCCAAAAATGATATTTTTGACAAAAGCGAGTTAAAAATGTTATTTTTACGAAAAGTGGGCATTTTATGCCATTTTGGTAACTAATTGAATGAAAACAAGCAATAAGGTAACAAATGGGCTAATATTGTCATTCTCATGTTATTGGGCCTTAGTGACCCATTTATATGCTTGATAGGTCCTGAATACTCTTTACATGTTTATTGGGCCTTGTTGACCCATCTACATGCTCGACGGACCTTGGATACTCTTTACGGGCTATTTGGGCCTATAAATATCTTACCTGTGAAATGGGTCTTAGTTGTCCTTTTACATATATTTTGGGCCCAGGTTATATAATCCCGTTCCTTATGGGCCCAAAAATGACGTACATGTTTAGTGGACCTTAGTCGTTCACCTACATGGTCATTGGGTCTGGAATGTGCTTTATATGTTTCTCTTCGCGTAAATTCGATTAAGGATTTAGTGAGACGTGTCGGTTGACACCTATTGAGTGTACAATCGTAGCCTATAGTTATAACCAGAGTCTCTTGGAGGGAGAGCAGGGGTTTGTGTATAGATCTATACGGGGAAGACACCCCACACCTGAGCTGTTCGCTACAGTTAGACTAAACTAGTCTAGGGTGACGAAAACCTTATTCTATTCCGTCGGCGTCCATAAACGCCAAGACATGCGAATTTGTCATTATCTAGTATGGTTATAACGACTCACTTAGAGGAATTAACATTATGAAATTTACGGGAGACCATTCTCTTTTCTCTTTGGATTACTAGGGAACATACTTGCGCCGGTACTCAACCTCGGGGGTTGATATACCAGCATTCTCTTTTACAGACAACATAGGGTTGTCTGGGGGGATTCTCCTTACATTCTCTTTACATTCTCTTTACATTCGTTTCATTCACTTTTAGCATTCTATTAAACAACAACACACATGCATTAATACAAGATCGGACACAAACATACTAAACTATTTTAAGAAAATATAGGATTTTCTTGTGATTGCAAAGTTATACAAATCATTTTCTCAAACATGCTTATGAACCCACCAACATTTTTATGTTGACCTTTTTAAATTAACTTGTATTCTTAGGAAACCGTTGAATCAGGTTGGGCAGAACAAACTAATGGATATTTTATTATATTTTCTTTCATCATATTTTAACTATTTTGGCATGTAATATTCAAACACAGTACTCGATGTAAACAATGTATGTTGTTATATTACATGTGTGATGACGATGATGTTAATTTTCAATTATATACTATGTGATGATACAACAAGGATGAAGTCACACCAAGCCCCCGGACGTTTCCGCCATCTGGTTCGGGGGTGTGACATTTACCATACTGACATCCAGCACAAACGACATCCGTTTTGACTTCAAGTTGAGGTAAGCCTTTAAGCATGGATTTCTCCATTATTACCTTTAACTTGTGATAACCATCATGTCCCAGCCGTGCATGCCATAGATCTGCTGTCTCGTTCTTCCGAGTCTTATCTACATAGGCAGACTCTGCGGAGAGCACATAGACGGACTCCACTCTCCGTCCTTTCATTGTGCTTTTCTGATATTTTAAGATCTCGATAGACCTTCACATCTTGTGGGCCAAACAAGACGTAGTTGCCTGAAGATGTCAGTTACGATACTGACAAGTTCTTCTTCATACCTGGAACGTGATAGACATTATGTAGTGACACCATGTACGATTTATTACCGGGCATAATCGTTGTTTTGCCAATATGAGCAATTGGAAGTCGTGCATTGTTGGCTGTAAGTACCATGCGACTCCCTTTGTACTCATTCACGTCTTGTAGTTTGTTCTGATCACCAGTCATGTGATTGGAGCATCCTGAATCAATGATCCAGTCATTCTCATAGTTGATACGCTCTCCCACCATTGCCATGAGTGCCAACTCGTTTTCTTCTATGGCACATAATGCCTCAGCATCCCATTCATCCTCTATTTCCTTTTTGGAAGTTAAGACATTGCTTTCCACGGACATTTTCTTTGACCAACAATCATTGGACATGTGGCCCCACTTTCCACAATTATTGCAGTTGCCTTCGAACCTCCTCCCCCGAGAACTCTTATTATCGGTATTTTGAGATCTCCATGGTTGCGAGGTTCCTTGCTGACTCTTCACTTTGTCAGCATTTTTGTATCCTTCTTTAGAAGGTAACTTGGAATTCCTTTGACTTTTACTTGTGTAGAGCGCCTCCTCTTAACTCTTCAGCGTGATGCCTCCCATTTGCTTAGCCATAGCTTCTTGGCTGGCCAATAAATTCTCAAACTTTACAAGTGATGGTTGAACGGGCCATCCTTGTACAACAGTTATGAAGCTTCTATATTCCGGCCTCAATCCATGGATGATGATCCTCTTCATTCGAGCTTCTGTAATGACGGATTGCAGATCTAGTTCAGTAATCTCCCGACATATTGACCTGGCCTTGTGGAAATATTGAGCAATCGTCATGTCGCGTTGTGAGATTGATAATAGCTCGTTCTCCAAAAGTTGTAGTCTCGTATTATTCTTCTTTGAGAAATGCGTCACGAACGTGTCCCAAGCTTCTTTCGGTGTGTTCTCGTCCCGAGTATGCTCCAACATCTCTTCTTCGATTGTGGTCTTCAAGGCAAACATTGCTTTGCCTACTTTGATTTTCCATTTGCTCAAAGCGCCATTAACATCTTCCTCTGGTGGCGTAGTTTCGCTTCCACCAACGATCTCCCATAGATCTTGTCCTTGTAAGTAGGACTTCATACATGTTTCCCACGTTTTGTAGTTGTGGTTGTTGAGTTTCTTGATTCCTCCGACAACTTGGAGATCACCCATCGTGTTGGCAGTACCTCGGTAATACCAAACAAGCTAGTGTCGACACCAAACTTGCGGAGTCACAGACTACTAACGATACAAAGAGAATCACTTGTTCTCACTATCAAGAAACCTTCCTCTGATACCAGATTGTTGAACACGACTCTTTATATGGGAAACAACAAGACTTTTATTAAGACACTTAAGAAGAACTTACTCTTTATACCCAAAATCTTTTTAATTACAATTGTGAGTTCTATAGAGAGATCTATGCAGTGTGCCAGCATCATGGTGTAATTCTTACATAATAGTATTACCGACCGAGCATGCAAATACAGTGGTAGAATTAGTGTATTATTCTGCATTACGCTCTTAGTTTTACGTACCAGAAAGAAAAAATAACACCATTACTTAAGCTTTTGGTTGCTCATATCGGTCAAAACATAAGCTGTTTGTAGATTAGGAACCTAAGGAGATAATACGTATAAGATACTCATATCAGTCTACACACAGCCTTCAAATCAAATGAAAACTTCTCTTGAAAAAACATTATATAGTGAATTTTGTTTTTCATTGAAGTCTAGCTTATATCGTTTAACAACACAAACTGGTTTCGAAACAAATCTGAATTCGAATCCTAAACAACCTGGACAACCGAGAGTTGTCACGTGTTGCAAAAAAGGTTAGTGATCAGTGAGTGCTTTACAAAAAAATTGTTTCCAACTACAATGCTATAACTCGAGTTCATAATGCACCCAGACGATTTGCGAGATCAAAGAATGTGTGCTCACTACAGGGGATTGTGAGGCCACCCATTGGATGGTTATATCCAAACTCTTCCTCAGCCTGATGTAATAACTCTTGAAATGAAGGTTGGCTTAACAAGGATACAGGAATCACAAAGCGCTTCTTTTCCTGTTCCCCAACATAAACTGCAAAATACCCTTTTGGTAGATCCATTGTTGACGTGCGAGACGTTCCATTTGACAAAGACCGTTGGAGAATTTGTTTTGCTAGAATGATTAGTGGCATACGGATACCCATTTTTCTGAAGGTTGATGAATCAAGTAATTAAATCTATGTGAGAATATTTTCAATGTTAAAAGATGTTTTGGAGGAATTGTAGAGGAATGTGTGATGGTGCTTTGCATATCACATGCTTTATATAATGGTTTGTTAAAGGTTCAAATGTACAATAGCTGTTAAAAGGGCAATTAAATTACAAATAGCGACATTGTGACAGAAAGACAATATCATGTGCTCTGTTTCTCAACTTGCAAAAAGACATTATCTTGCATATCACAACCATATATTCAGAGATAATATTATGGCTTAAACTTGTACTTGTAAACCAAAAGAATTAAACATAGAGGATAACATGTATGGCCAGCATTGTATACAACGTATGCAGTGAAGAACACTACAAACATCATGGGTCCAAGTGATATTAATGGTAGTGTGGCTCTGCTTCCTATGAAACCCAAAATTCTGGCTAAAATCTATGGAGTTTTCTTATAACATAATTGGCCAATGATGTATTATCTATATGGAAATAACTCATTGCAGCGATTAGCAATCCATTTTATATGCTTGATCACATGTTTTTGTTTATCAAAACTAGTTTTATGAAAAATAAAATAATAAACCATTTGTTTCATAAGCATCATGAGGGATATTGATGTTGCCTTAAACAATGGAAAGTCCAAGTCATGACGACGTTTGCCTGTTTAAATAAATGATGTACTTAATTTATTTCAAAAGTATTTTTATAAAAATGACATAACAAACCATTTTTTTGATGTGCATCATGACGGACTTTTGTCGGAGCAAAAAATTTATCCAACAAGTCGTGAAGTTTAAATTCATAAAAAAATTATATGTTTTTTCTTCCTTGTTACAGCTGGAAAGACAAAGGCATGTGATCTTGCTTGCACTTCACCATATGTCACTATCCCCCTTCTAAATTTCCTTATATATTTTGGATATATAAACCATTCCAGATGAATAACACACGGATTCTCAACTATTAACCAGGAAGCCGTGTTTTGATAATTTTCATTCACCATATTCATTTTTAAGTTAAGAGATACTACCCTCCTTGAAAAATGGCCATCCTAATGCCCCGCTTCACTCAAGCAAAGAGAATTTTTAGAAGGTCATTCTCAAATGGAAGCAGCACAACAAAATCTATGAATATCCCGAAAGGTTGTTTAGCGGTTTATGTCGGTGAGCAAGACAAGGAGCGATTTGTGGTTCCTGTATGGTTGTTAAGCCAACCTACTTTTCTAGAACTACGAGATCAAGCTGAGGAAGAATTTGTGTATATTCATCTGATGGGCGGACCGACAATTCCATGTAGTGAATAAACATTCACCGATCTAGCATCTCCTTTGGGCGCATTATGACTTGTATACAACATTCGTTGTTACCTTGAAAAGCTAACTAACAACTAGAATATTTATTATCAGTTGTAAATAGAGACTATTGTCCCATTTTTGTATGTAACTTTATCATGGAACTATTTAGAGGTCAATGTATTCTATTTAGCATTAAGAGATAAGACATGAAGAGCAACGAATTTCACCTGTCTACTATTTCGACAATTAGAATTTTACATACCTTGAAGTTTGTCCCTAGAAAGACACAATCGCCTCATATATTTGTTTCTTTTTTCTCAAAATGATACAATGAATTATCAAAAGGGATCATGAGCTTTTGTGGCAATACATTTTCATGCATGTGAAAAATTTATGCTTTCATATTCTTAGCGAATATGATATAGATACTCATATCATGAAACAATTACCAGAAACCACGTTGTGCTTAATAAGTAATAAATAGTAAAAAGAGTAGTATAAGAGAATGAGGCTCTAGTTCATACAATATTTAAAAATTTCTATTCAGCTTATGGAATCTATTATTTAAATTTGAAATACACAACACTTGCCTTACTTCAACAGAGAACACAACATGTTTTGTTTCTTTTTATGTTCAATTTTTTATGTGTAGTCTTTTTATATATTTCACTATGCATTTTCTGTTCAAAGAATACAAAAAAATACAACCTGATGCCTAAGGAGCTCACACATTTATAACTAGATTTTCATTGGAATAGAATTAGAGGAGTACAATATGATGGCAATCAGTGGAGAAATGGAAACACAGTTATACAAATATACAAGTGTTTCTTATCGCGAACAATTATGCTGGCAGTAGGCTACATAGGATTACGTAATGAATCAGATGAAGAGTTGGGGCATGTTTTAAGCCAAAATCCAGACAAAAATACAGAATTTTTTTTTCATGATGCCCACTTTTTTGGTTCAAATTATAAATTTTCAATGCATATGAAAATGGTAGAATCTCTATGTGTGTGCATCCCCCCCCCCCTGTTAGGTAAAATATGAAAGGTTGAAAACATGTGGCTATACATGTGAAATAAAAGAATCAATTGTTGGACGGCTAATGTGAATGGAAGGAAATTCAACGTCAACATTTGCGGCTTTCACATTTGAGTACTATTGACACGACGACTCAACATTTGCGGCTTTCACATTTGAGTACTATTGTCACGACGACTCAACATTTGCGGCTTTCACATTTGAGTACTATTGTTACGACGACTCAATTTCATGTGCAAATTGCGGCTCTCTCACCTATATATATGCATGTATGTTTTGCATATTTTGTGTGCAAAAACTTGAGAGAACATCAAATGTAGAGTGTCAAGCCAATTGTAATCTTGTGAGTTTTAATAAAATTCTCTAGTTGCAGCCCGTGGACGTAGGATTTGCACCGAATCCGAACCACGTAAAATCCTTGTGTTCTTCTTGCTTTATTTTCGTGAGTTTGTGTGTGTGTGATAGTGTGTTTCCGCTGCGTGTACCCGGTCCGGTTCCTAACAACTGGTATCAGAGCCAGATTAGCGAGGTTTGGAGGGTACAATCATTTTTTTTATCACGCACGAGTGTACCTGATTTGTATCTTGTTTGTCGTAATGGCTGAAGACAAGGTTGTAATCGAAAAGTTCAACGGTTCTGATTTTAGCTGGTGGAAAATTCAACTAGAAGCATTGCTATGTCAGAAAGACTTGGACGTGGTACTCGGAGACAAACCGGAGAAAATGGAAAAAGCTGCTGAAGATGCGTGGAACTCAAAGGACAAGAAAGCCAAGGCGGTTATTACATTGTCGTTGACGAAGAGCGTTGCTTTCAACATCATGAATGAAACCACGGCACGTGGTATGATGGAGGCTCTGTCAAATATGTATGAGAAACCATCGGCGGCTAACAAGGTGTTCTTGATGAAGGAGCTGTTCACTACAAGGATGAATGAGGAAGGCTCAGTTACGGTTCACATTAACAATCTAAATTCAATTCTGTCCAGATTATCATCTGTGGGAATTAAATTTGATAACGAGACTCAAGCATCACTGCTACTAGCTTCTCTACCTGATAGCTGGTCCGGAACAGTTACTGCTGTTACGAGTTCCGTGGGGACCAGTGGTATGACTTTTGAAGGGGTTAGAGATTTGGTTCTAGGCGAGGATATCAGACGCAAGAATCAAGGTGGATCTTCCTCTTCTGATTTATTAAATGTCGGAAGAGGTAGAGGGAATAGCAGGAATAGTGGAAGCAGTGGGAGTCGGGGAAGAAGTTCATCTAGAACTAAGAAGAATGTGAAGTGCTGGAACTGCCAGGAGGTGGGACATGTTAAGAGTCAATGTCCAAAGAAAGAATTGAACATTGCCGGTGCTGAGAGTGTGTCTGAGGATGATGCATTGATACTCAGTATGGAAATTTCTGTGGACTCTTGGGTCATGGATTCAGGGGCTTCGTTTCACGCCATGGACAACGGGGAAACGATGGTGAATCTAAAAGAAGGAGATTTTGGAAAGGTACGTTTGGCAAATGACGAGATGCTTCAGGTAACGGGCATGGGAGATATTGATTTGGTTACTTCATTGGGAACTACATGGAGCCTGAAGGATGTCAGGGTGATTCCGGAGCTGAAGAAGAAATTGATTTCTGTTGGTCAGCTGGATAAACAAGGACTGGAAGTAAGGTTTGGTGGTGGTAAATGGAGGGTGATCAATGATAATCTAGTGATTGCTCATGGTATGAAGTGTGGGTCATTGTATATGGTTGAGGTATCTGCTGAGGGAAGTATGACCGTCCCTGTTAAGCAAGACAAAATCTGGTTCGCTAAATCTACGGCTAAGAGAGTTCATTTTGCAAACATGAATTATGGAGCCAAGGGGATGTTAGCTGAACGAGTCAGAAATTCTAAACCGTTCAGGGGATTCTGTGACAGTGGGAGCACGGGGTGTGTTTCGGGTACAATTACAAAGAGCCGTTGGGTTTTGAAGACTAAGACTGAAAAAGTCTCTCCTGTTGAAAGTTTGCAAAGTTGGGAGAGTGTTAGTGGTCCTCGGTGTATCTCTGGATCTGGTGGAGTGTCCAAACCGGTTGAGACAGAGGATGAGTCGGTGGTGGGATTAGCCACGACTGAGTTGGAGCTAGTGGGAGCTTCAACTGTCCCTTCTAGTACTTGAAGATGAGGGGCGGCTGCAATTAGAGAAATGAGACTAAGTTTAGCTTGTTCTTAGGAACTGGAGGCTTGGAAGACTTGGTTGTTTTAAGATTACTGGAGTTGGATGACAGAGACGGACCATGTTGTTCAAACTTTCAAGTGGGAGATTGTTAGGTAAAATATGAAAGGTTGAAAACATGTGGCTATACATGTGAAATAAAAGAATCAATTGTTGGACGGCTAATGTGAATGGAAGGAAATTCAACGTCAACATTTGCGGCTTTCACATTTGAGTACTATTGACACGACGACTCAACATTTGCGGCTTTCACATTTGAGTACTATTGTCACGACGACTCAACATTTGCGGCTTTCACATTTGAGTACTATTGTTACGACGACTCAATTTCATGTGCAAATTGCGGCTCTCTCACCTATATATATGCATGTATGTTTTGCATATTTTGTGTGCAAAAACTTGAGAGAACATCAAATGTAGAGTGTCAAGCCAA